TTTACAGTGCTGAGTGGAAATAGATGCTATGTGTGTTTCTGGAATCGTTAAAAAATGGGACTATTGTATAATAGTTGCAGAACAGGTAGCACGGCACTCTGTGATTGCTTAGGTTAGAGTCAAGGTTTAAGTTCTGCAAATGTTGTAAACTGGCTATTGTGCAATGATAGACCATAGGAGCTGAGATTTGTTGCTGTCATTGTTTAAAACTTAGCAAGAATTTCAGTGATTACCATAATCTTCCCCTGATTTTTTGTCTAATTAATTCTCTAAAAAAATAAACCTATTGAATCTTAATTGCTAGAGGCTTTTTCATATTTTTTTTTTCTTGAGCATCAGGAAATGTTAGCCGTAATGCACCTTTAGATATTCTTTAAAATATCTTAATTGCTAGAGGCTTTTTCGTATTTTTTTTTTTCTTGAGCATCAGGAAATGTTAGCCTTTGCCTTGCTGCCATCCCTTAGTATGAATTCATCAGATATTTCAGTTATATTTAGTATTTTTTTGTATGAATGTATGAAAAGAAGTGGTGGTTTACAGACTCATCCTTTAACAACTGCCTTAAATCTGTAATGGATGTTAGAGTTGCAATACTGGCATACTAACCTGTAAAGATGTAATTAGTGAATAAAGGACAAATGAAATCTTTTCAATAATGATGGCTTAATTTTAAAATGTAGTGGTTAAAAAAATTAAGAAACTGTAAGTAATTAGAGATTATAAGTTATATTTATATTTTTTTCAGAACTTGAGCAGTGCACATCATTTGACTTGATCAGCCTGTCAGTTTGCGTGTGTCTGTAATTTTATCTTTTTTTTTTTTTTTCCTGATTATTATTTCCCCACACACATACTGATAATGGTTTTCTTCTGCAGAGCTCTGATAATGCCCCAGCTCAACCAGCTCCTAACCAGCGAGTTGTAGAGGTGGCGATTCCTGATGTAGGGACTTTTGTGATTGAGTCAGAGGAGGGGGGTTATGACGATGAGGTACATTTGATTGTAATTGTGTGCACCGCTCCTCCTCGGTGCTTTCTTGTGCTGCCTGATGAGAATTTTTGGCATGTTTGCACATCGTGACACCTAACAGATTTCTGCAAAACTAAATGCTTAGCAATTTGTAACCTTAACGATGTCTTAATTTGTAATGAAATATGAAAATAAAGCATTAGCTATTCTAATTGGGCACGCTTTGCATGGTACCATTTACACTGGAGGTTTATTTATCTTTTTAGCTGTGGAAATTGAATGTTTGTGTTAGACCAGATAGCCTTTGAAATGCTGGTGATAGACTGTGGACTACTACATTATTTAAAGAGTGACAGGGCAGTGAGCGATGTTCTTACTGTTTGTGCTTTCTTGTCAGTCCAATAAAGCTAATGTTCAAGTTCAATCCCTTACTTGCCAAGGTTAAACTTTTCTGACTTCGAGGCTTAAATTATCCATGGAAGTAACCCGAAACTGATATTGGTGGTGGAGCTGACTCTTCCAAAGCTTAAGAAAAAAAAATACAAAAGTATGAAAGTTCTTTTTTCCCAGTTCAGACCCAGGGTGGTGCGCATACCTTGTACTACTTGAGGAACAGATGAGAGGCCCATGTTATCCTGAGAGATGTTGTTTTCTGCTGGCCTATTTTAGCAGCAGAAAGCAACACGCCAGGTCATCGAACGGTCCTGCCTTGACACTGCTTACTCCATCTTTGTTTTGGTTGGGGGTAGCGTTGGTGCAGCCCATATTCTCAGGTGTCTGAGCATGTGTTCTTGGTGGGCTATGGGGAGCTTTTGCTTCCTTAGACAAATGGATATTTCAGGTCATTCTGCCCTGTAATTGTGATCAGTTGTAACTGGGAGTATGGGATGGGGAATAATGTGATCTAATTGACATCACCACTCTGAGTTTGGCTTCTCACAGGTCTCCACCTTTAAAGACATGAGGATTTAGCCTCACCTGCTTTTGGAGTTTTTTTCTTTTTTTCTTTGTTGTCCCCATGCTATTGTCTTTCTAGAGAAAAACTTTCTTCCTGATTTCCCTGTTTCTTCTGTAAGTGTATTCACTTTTTTTAATGTTATTCTTCCGTAAGGGAAACTTCTGGAGAGTTTAGGGTTCTTCATCTTTTGTTGCTGTGCTAGCTATACCTTGGGCAGGGAGAGAGGGAGTGTTCTTCTTTCCTCGCAGGGAACAAAGGGGAAAGGCCTTTCTGAGATCAAGCTGTTTGTGTATAACCGATATGAATAGCTGAGAGATGTGTGTGTCTTACGTTCAGCTTTGTGTTTGTTAAATGTTTGGGGTTTGATTTTTAAGAATTTGTCTGCAAATGCTTCAGGGACCAATTGCATTTGCAGCAATGGGTCCCTTATTTTGATGTTGAAATACACATAAAATAAAAGCAGTGTAGATTACTATGTTCTTAGTATAGTGTATATAAAGTGTGGTTGGGTGATTTTTTTCCTTGAAACTTTTTTTTTTTTATCCTTTTGTGGCCATGGGTAACACTCATTCAGTATGCAGTTTCTGACGGATACTAATGCTGAACGATGCATGTTCCTTTCCTGGGAAATTTTGACCATATAACTTTTAAATTGTATTTGACACAGTTCTTCAATTTTTCTGTAAGCTTCCTTTAGTCATATGTCGTTACAGTAAAGATATAAACACATGCCATGACTGATTTGCAGAATATGCACACCATATCTGTATTGAAATGTGCCATTTCAATGTATGCATGCATTAAGTTGCTTTTTATCTTGCATGAGACTAAAAACATATTGAATTTGGTCATTAAAATATTAATCATTCAAAACTTTTACCTTAAATCCCTTGTGGCAGGTCATGCTGACCCCGAACATGCAAGGTATTATCATGGCTATAGGTAAAGCCAGGAATGTTTATGACAGGTGTGGGCCAGAAGCAGGGTTCTTTAAGGTACAACTAACATTTTCAACTTTTTCTCCTCTGACTTTTCTTGTTAGATATGCCTTCTCCCTCCACCCTTTGATGCATATTAAGAGTGTTCCAGTGTTTATACGTACTCTCCTATTATATCAGTCCTCCATTTAGATACTTCTCCCTTGAAAAATAGACAGCTATTTCCCTGTTAATTCAGCAGTAAACTGCCTTGATATCAGTAGCTTATACACCTTTCTGCTGCATTTTACCTTTCTAATAATAGTAGCAAGTAACATGAAACCTAGATATGTAATCAATAAGAATACGGGGGTGTTTTTCCCCGTTAGTAACAAAACCCATGCATTCAGTAGACTGTTCGGGACACTTTTTTTTTTTTTTTTTTTTTTTTTTTTTTTAACCCAGGGATATAAATGTTTAGTCATTTGTTATTTATTTCAAAGAGATATTCTTGTTTTGTACTCCTTAAAAGATTTTTTTAGTAAATCTAAATTAGTTTCTTTTCTGTAACTGCTTGGATGTCAATACTATTTATTTATGCAGTGTTTTATTACTGGGAATTAGACATTAGGCTTCATAATGATACCAGATTTAATAATGTGTTAGTCTTCTTAAATACATAAACCTCTGAGAATTTTTAGCTCATGATCTTTTGCGTTTTCAGGGTATTAGGAAGGGAATTACTTTGACATGATGTAAAATCCTCCCAAATGTGATTTGGAGGGGGGAAGAAGTTTCTTGCTTGTCATTAAGAAGAAAACAGACTGCTACTCAGTTGTCATGATGTAGTTGCACTAGAAGAAACTAAAAAACAAAAGAAACAAAAAAACCACAAACAAACAACAAATAAACAAACAAAACCCAAAAAAGCACACACACACCCCCCCCAAAAATTCTCTAACCTTGGTAAGGAAATTGAAATTTCACGGGTGTGTTTGTATTGTCTGTTTGTGTGGGGCTTTGTAATGGATACCTAGAAGTGTTAGGACCACAACACTTGGTTGCAGGGCTGTCTGCTAATGGTGCCTTCCCTCAGGGAATGGAGAGGCACCTGCCATAGCCTGATGCTTAGTGAAATAGGTTTTGTTTGGGATTCGGTGCTGGGGTTTTTTTTCAAATTTATCACTCTATGAAAAGATGTCAAGCTTTTTTATTTTTTTAAGTTGAAAATAAAAGCCTCATTTGATCAAATCAAACTCCTTACCAGAAAGTTTAATCACATCAAATTATTTTTTGAATATGAAGGATGTTTTTATAATTGTAAACCAGAAATGCAGTTCAAAATAAAATTATATTTAGTGCTTCGAGTTATCAAAACAGTGCTCAGTTGAAATGTTTTTCAGTCTTTAATTTTGAATGCTTAAACATTTTTCATTTCATGGGGGACAGAATTTGTCTTTGAGTGAGAAAATATTCTGACACTAAATTGTGGGAGTGTAGAAAAAATTTCCTTACTGATTTTCTGCTGAGTCATGTTTGCAATAACTTAGAAGAGGTGGAGTATGCTTCCTTCTGACAAATAGATAAGTATGAACATATGCAGATGAAATGGTCCTACTTAGTAGCAAAACTCGTATATTGAAACGTATCAGATGAAATCTCATGTTACTCTATAAACTTATTGTAACAGCTTCTATGATATTTTTTAATACTGTTATATTCTGGGTTTTCTTCATGTGTTTGTTTTTTAAAAAATATGTGTTTACGGAAAATTGTGCAGTTTTTTTCTATGTCTTTGTTTTAGTGTAACCCAGGTAAAACCCATTTGACGTGGGTCTTTGTTACTGCCAAGGTTTCGCTCCCCCTGTAGATCCCAGGCTTGAGATGTGACTTAATACAAATCCCTTAAGATATTTCTGGGTCAAGGAGCTCTTCCAGTCACCCTTCTTTAAACTTTATAGACAGTTCCTTACAGAATATTTGCCTTAAGATCTTTATATAACATTCTCAGTGAGAAAATGAAAGCATGTCATGCTTCTTTCTACCATCCCTTTTTCCTGTATTCTGTGTAAAGTGTCATTTTTTTCATTGTGCATAGGATTTCTGGGTCTGTAGTATAACATTTTATTTTATTTTAATATTTATACAAAAATATAGGGGGGTTGTTGCATTTTTTTTCCTACTTCTAATTAATTCTCTGAGAAATTAAATGTCTAATAGCAGTTGCTTTTTGTTTCTGGCCTACCCCAATAAGCAGGGTTTAATTGCGTAGTTATCCGTGTCGGTTTTTTAATGGTACAACTTCTTATGATGTAAGATAATTAGAAACTCTTGTCTGTGGCTTTTTATATTTATATTTATAATGGGTTGTCCCAAACTTCTTTTTTAATGATAATACATACAATTAGTATTTTAAAATACTGACACAGAACGTTCTCTTAATTTTTTTAAGTTCTCCACATGCTCTGTGTTTAAGTCTGTATGAGTATTGTCCAACCCGCGTGTTTAGTCACGAAACAAAATGTGTGTTAGTACAGAATGGGAGTCCAAATTTCTGATAGTTAAACATCAAGAAGTCATCTGCTCCTGCTAGGTATTTCAACGTAAAGGAATTTGAAATAGAACAGGGTAGTTTTCCGCCTGCTTTGGAGCTTTATTTTGTGCATATGTTGTATTGAAACTTTGCTAATGTGTGAAGCTACTGTGTTAAGTCATTTGTTTCAAGTCAACATTTAGTGTTAGCAAACAATCTGATCACCTCCCTGTATTAAGAGATAAATTATGGAACATATTAACATTTGTGACCATTTTTCTAATTATTTTTCTTGTTGTTGCTCTTGTTCATACTGTATAGTTTCAGTGAATAAAATCTAATAAACATCACAGATGATGTTCATTAAAATCTAATGTGATGGCAAAGCTCTAAAAGTAAACCCTTCTGATGACCTCTAAATTATTCAGTGGTGGCTCCATCCTGCCCTATAGCAGACTAATACTATTTGTATTGAACTATTTTCTCTAGAAATCTTAGTTTGATTTTTGTTGAAAGACACTTTCCATTCTCACTCAGTGTTTCCAAAATCATACAGAAAGTTTAATAAACACGTAAAATTTGTTTTATTCTTTTATATATATCCTATTTGATAGGACGAGAGGAAATAGCATCAAGTTGCACCAGGGGAGGTTTAGATTAGGTATTAGGAAACATTTCTTCACTGAAAGGGTTATCAGGCACTGGAATGGGCTGCCCAGGGAAGTGGTCAAGTCCCCATCCATGGAGGTATTTAAAAGTATTTAAAAGATGGGTAGACGAGGTGCTTAGAGACATGGTTGAGTAGTGGACAGGTACAGTTGGACTCGATGATATTAAAGGTCTTTTCCAACCAAATGATTCTATGATTCATGTATTTGCATTTTAACAATGTATTAAGGATGCCTGTTTTACCTTACAAGATTTTAGAAGATTTCTTTCAGTGTCTGAAATCTTACAATGCTTTTGGACTGTAAATGCTTAAAGAGGCCTCTCTAGGGATTGGATAGACCTTCTCTCAGGGAGACATATCATCAAATTGGGACTGCTGTTGTACTAAAGGTTTACATGGGATTTTGGCAGGCTTAGCTGGGGAGAGACAGGAAGAACTTTACCATTTGTCTGGATTTTTTTGGCAGTGTGGGTGGGGTTTTTTTTTGGTTTTGTTTTTTTTTTTAAACATAGTACAGACTTGTTAAAAGGGTGGAATATCGAATTGTTGAAAATTTATTTTGTAGGCAAAAGGCCATGGGATGTGAATTATCCTGTTAGTGTCTGTGATGTTTAAGAGTTAAAAGCCAGAAAGAATAATTTATATTTTTAAAATTATTTAGGCAATTAAATTGGAATACACGCGTCTGCTGAAATTAGCCCAGGAAGATCCACCGCCTGAATGCGATTACCGTTTGCGTCATGCAATTGTTTACTTCATCCAAAACCAGGCACCAAAGAAGATAATTGAGAGAACATTACTGGAACAGTTTGGAGATCACAATCTGAGCTTTGATGAAAGGTAATAAGATGTGCCGGTCTCATTTCCTGTGCTCACGAACGTTCTCTGGCGGGTGGAGACGCCCCTGCATGTTCAGAGAGTGCACGTAATAGAGGGAAGGCTAGTGTGTATGTTTGGCTTTATCTTCTAGTCAATAGCTAGCAAGTATATATTGTAAAAAAAAAAAAAAAAAAGTCATCTTTATAAAAATCTGTATAAAAAGAGTGAATAAGAGGTTGGGTTTCTGTCCTTATGGAATAAGGAGAAATACTCAGTGTTGCTCATAATTTTGCACATAGATTTCTGTACCTTCTTCCAAAACACTATGTAAGGCTGCGTAGTTTGCATTCTTCACTGCCCTGAAAGCCAGCAGTAGACAGCAAAGCCTTGCAGGCTATACAGGTAACTTACTTGAATGTCAAACAATGTCTGTTTTCCACTTGAAATTCCATATATTTACTTCTTTAAAGACATAAATAAATTGAAAGGTAGAAAACATTAGTCTGATTCCTGCACAGTGAATAATCCTCTAATGCTACTTTTGCAAAGTAAATATCGAGGAGTTTCAAGCCATCTGAATTTTAAAATAAAAAGAAAGACTGAGCAAGGTGGCAATTTAGCAAAATAAAACAAGAAGTAATTCCTAAGTAGCACAGGCCTCCATCATATGTACTTCTAAAGTATGCCGTCTCCTGCTGATTATACCATGCATAATAAAAAGCACATTTTCCACAGTGTTTTCATACTGTTTTGCATAAGGCTGTACTGTTTGAGGCTGCTGTCTTTGTATGGGTAATACCCTTTACGAATATCCAGTGATATTCCATGATTTCTTGTTGCTTTTTATAAGGTGCCGTAACATAATGAAGGTTGCTCAAGCTAAACTTGAAATGATAAAGCCAGATGAAATAAACATGGAAGAATACGAGGTCAGTATTTTTTATACTTTAATTTAAACTGTAACATGAAATAGTTACCAGTACACTGAATTTTATCTTCACAAATTTCTTCTTGTCTTACACTAAGAAGTTAAAACTGGTTATTGAAAGACGATTTATTTGTAGGAATGCTGCTCTCACCAGGTGATCTAAAGCTGTTTTTTCTCACATCTGTAATTCCAGTGACTTGAGACATAAATAAATGTCACATTTGAGTCTGTCCTTACTCCTTAACGTGTCTCAATGTCACTAACAGTATTTCATAATTTATCACCATATGAGCCAACTGGCTTTCTCTAGAAACAGCTAGCAGTGAAGGAGTGAGGGTGGTCTAAGCCCAGCCTGACACACCTTGAGAACTGGGTCACAGGCACAGTCACGTTTTTGCTTTTCCCCCAACCATTCCCATTTTCTTACAAGCACTAGATTCTTTTGTTTGCTGAGACTGTACATAACCAGTTTATGCATTTAATTTTTCCTCCTGCACTATGAAGAAAAACTTGGAAAGAAGAGCAAATCTTAGACATTAAATAATCATGACTGATATGTGCCAAAATAATTCATCTCATATTTAAAGTTAAGCCTGTAGCTGGTTTTACAACATCAGTTTCAACTCTGTGTAATGCTGTTCATTAAGGCCTCTTCACAGAGGATATTTATGTCCTAGGCAGATTCCAGTGTATGGCTTAAACCTCATTGTTACGCTCGTACGTCCAAACAGCTTGTTCAGGAGGACTAGGGGAGTAATCTTCCCTTCAACAAACCAAATGAAAAATATTTACTTGGCATTTCTCATTACCATGTTTAGGACCTATAGTAGATGACTACTATGTTGGTGTGCTGTCCCTGGCCTGTGAGGAGAAAGGACTCTCATAGTGGGATTTGTGTTGCATTTTTTAGGCTGGGCAATGCTCAATATCTTACCGTTTTCTGAATGGCATTGCACGGGTGTAGAATAAACAAATCTGGACTTAGCTTTGAGGGTGAGGGAGTGAGGTGTTTTCTATTCCCCTGCAGGTATGTGCAGCCACTTTAGCTCCTGAGGCAGGTAGTTGGTGGTTTCTCCAAAGATCATATCAGTATTTGTCCTGCATAGTGAGTTGGCATTTCATGGATCCTTTCTCATGCTCTTTGTGTTGAATCTGTATGCTGTCCCCTATTTTATCTTTAATTAGCAATTGAAAGTTGGCTACTAACCAACTGCACTAAAAGGGCTTTTTTTTACTTCGAGCATTTACCTGTAAAGTCTACCAGTAGTCACTTTGTATAAATGGTGAATGCAATAAGATAAATGTTTTGCTCCAGTATAAATATCTCCACATTCTGAATTGCATTTGGTTTTTTTTTTCTTGTCATTTCCCATGGAATGTATTCAGGTTTTTTCTCTGACATTCTTATATTGAAAGTGAAGCTTAAAATTTAGTGTATGAAAAAGCTTTCTAACACTTCCTGAGTAAATAACTGGATGTAATGTAGGGAGGAAAAAAAGGCTATTGGACTCTCAACTTTTTTTGAGAAGAAAAAGAGGATCACGTATGATGACTGTGGTTCTCCAAAGATGCATTGTGTTCCTCTCAAATGGTAATGCATTCTGGAAAAATAATCTCATTTAGAAATATTTTAGGTATTTAAGAATTTTCTTTTTATTGAGGGGGGGAGGATGTAGGTGAACTTTTCCCACATGCAAGCTTACTAGGAGTCCTTAGTGCTTCACTGTGAGTATTCAGCACTAAGTGTCTGTGTGGGTGGGTGGGAATTGAAAAAACATTTGTATTTCATGTTTGTGGATGAAATTCTATATGCCCTTTCTTATATGCAGAGATGGCATCAAGACTATAGAAATTTCAGGGAAACCACCATGTTTCTCATGGTAGGATTGGAGTTTTTCCAAAAAAAGAGGTAAGTGGTAGTATAGAACTCAAATGTGGTAGAGCAATTTGAAGGCAAAATGTAATGTTGATAAGTAAAGCTATTTTTAAAATTAAGTATTGTTTATTGTGTTCTTGAAGCATTTATTTGGTCCATTAATATCTTCAGTCTTGCATCTACCTCAAAGTTTTCCACAGCTTCCTATTCTTAATCTCCATTTGCTCTTTCCTTATCCAGCGATGTATTCTTTTCAGAGCACCCTCCACGTGCATCTGTATTCCTCCTTCTCTCCTAATCTAAGTTCTCTGGGTATCCATCACATATAAAAATCTTTTGTCTCTAGCACCCCATGCGCACATACGTTTAGCTGCTTTCATCAGCAGTCACAATGGGTCAAGTTTCCGTCTTAACCATCTTTTTATTGGGTCTTCCCACAGAAGCAATTTCGCCTTCTGTATTTGTCTGAGCCAAAATTCCACTTGTGATGGGCTTTAAAGGTCAAGAAAAAAGAACATATTTGAGGAAAACTATAATCCATAACTATCATAGTTGTAGCTGATTCTTCTTAGCTCTGTGAGGCAATGGTGATTCATTCCCTTCTCTTTTCCAGCCAAGTCAGGAATTGTGGCTATATAAAATTGGTGATATTGATGTACTTAACACACTACATCTAGAACTTATTCTCAGATCTACTACATTCAGCAAGGATGATGATTATAGTATAAATACTTCAAAGCATTCTGCAGAAGGGACTCTCTGAAACAGAATTGTTCAAAACTGCCTCTTTCTCCCATGCCCAGCCAAAGGAACAAAATGATTAGCTGCAAAATATCCAGTGGCTGACATATGTTGTGTGAAAATTGAGCTATCATATGATACAAATTTTTGACTGTGAAAACAGTTCTGCAGTCAGTTACTGATTTTTTCCTGTATAACACAGTAGGTAGGGGAATTATAGTGGGAGTCAAACTTAATTTCTTGTATGTATGTTGTGTAGTAAATTGCTTCATATTCCTTTATCTTGTCTTGTATACTTCCAAGCAAGAAAGGCCCCAAATAAAAGAGGAAAATTGATTGGAAAAGATGCTGCCTTGTCTTTGTGACAAGCTATGTCTTTGTATAGTGGCTAAAACAATGAGCCTGTTTCGTCTTCTTGTTGCTAGTATGTAATAAATAGTACATTCATTAATAATCTAAATTGCAATATGCTAGTTTGTCAATCTTGAACAGCTTATGTATGAAGGTTGGTCAGCAGATTGCCTGGCTTATTTGAAAAATAAACACTCTGGTATGGCTTGGTCCCTTAAGGAGGCAAAAATGTCACAGACATCAGAGTGGTATATAGAAACCCTTTTTGTTACCCCCGGACTTTATGCATGCTCTAAGGAATGGAAGATCTTCAAGTTCCTTGGCATTGGGACTCCAGGATGGCACTTCAACTGCAAAATACTAATGTTTTCACTAATCCACTTCTTACCATAATATATTCTGATTATGCCAGGGGGAGGGAGGGAAGCACAGGTTTCTGCTCTGTGCTGAATAGCATTTTTGGCATAGTTTTCCATTTGCAAAGTTAGGGTGAGGCATTTGTTACTTTTTAATTTAGAAAACAGACCTATAATGACCAGTCTTAGACTCTGGTATTGGTCAGAAATAAAATACAATATTATCAGACTCGTCTAACATACAAACAAGCATTGCATTCATTCCTTTTGGCAAGAAATGCAATTTCGTAAGTGCTTCAAGAGATACTTAATACAAAGACAGTAAGACTAGGGTTAAGCATGATTGGAGGATGGGCAAGGATCTGGGTATCTATTGACCTTCTCTAAAGGCATCTGTTGCAATTATGCACCTATGTTTCAGCTACAGGCTTCCAAAGGGCTGAGATATTTACTGAGGATCATGTCTCCTATGCTCTAGAGGGCAGCACTGCCATCCTTGCTCTGAAAACAAGACTGAATTGATGAACTCTTACGATTCCCTTATTAACATTGAAATCATAGAAATGTAACTTCAGAAATATTTATGAAAACATAGACTTTTTTAATTGAAATACGACTTTCATCAGCAGGACTGTTTTCAGGCTTTTTTTCAGAAACCCATCTCCCTCAGTCAACCAGCTTTTTTTCTTAGTTTGGTAACACTGTTTGGTACCTAGCAGCACTCTGTCTCTAGATGGAGCCAAAAATCAGCCTTTATCCAGGTGGTCACTGATTTCCTTAAATAATTGTGCTGTGTTGAACCAACACAAAATCAACATTAAAGTAGTAGTTTAGTGTATCTTTTTCTCCTCTATAGCTTACTTTTATAGGTCTTGGTGCTGGAGTGCGGAACATGCCAGACTGCATTTGAAGGTGCAGCGGAACCAGCGGTTTCTTAGTACTACTGAAAAATCACCTTATGCTGAGCGCTGGGAAGTCATGCCTACTTCCAGTGTTCACTCGTGATCCCTTATGGTGGTTGACAAGACCCTCTTTTCACTGCAGGTAGAGAATTAAAGGGTCTTTCAGGCATATCTTCTCTGACTGTACTAGAGAGCAGGAACCTGCTATGGGTGAGATGAACGCAGCCAGCTAATGAAGCTTGGCAGGAGTTTTCCCTGCAGCTCGCTCTTGTGGTAGGAACTTAGAAGTGAAGAAACCATAGACCTTAGCAGTTGCCTTTTAAGTTTCTTAGAAAGCCAATACAGTTTTTCGGTTTTGAATGAAATGCCTTTTTCAAAGCAGTGCTAAAATTCAGCCAACCTGTGGTTTCTGCCTCTTTTCCAAAGCCTAGACCCAGTGACCTCCATAATTCTGTGAGCAGCTTCAGTGATTTTTAGGTTTTGGCTTCATAGGCTGGAGCTTCTATGTACTTCAGGTGTGAAAAGGCAGAATCTGTGTGGTCATTTACACTGTAATTGTATTCCTCAGGCTCTTGAGATACATATGGACTCTGAGGTTGGATGTGCAGTAATGATGATTTAAAATAGCTTATCTTGCTGTTAGATGGCGCTGTGGTTGTTCCAGGGAAAGGTGTCACACAACGGAGGGAAGGAGCAGGAGGAGAGGGACTGGGAATAAGTACACTACCAGCAGCAAGTTTTTAACAACTGAATTGTTGACACTGATTTCATCCCACGGTTTCACAAGTAACTGAACCAAGAATGGAAAGGGGGAGAAAGTCCTGCTCCTCTGGCTTCTATATTCAGCAATTCCAATTCCTTGCATTCATCTTCTCCCCTTTCCTCCTATGCAAAGTTTTCTGCTGTCTGGTCAGTTGTGTTGGTGATCAGTGGTGTGAAGAGTTTTCACAGGCAGGAGAAATGGACTTGAAGAGAGGGGGATACGCTCTCATTAAAAGAAGTCCTAGCTTTGTATTTTGAGGACAAAAAGGTGGAGAACAGTGACTGTACTTGTAATGTATTAATTACTTAAGCAAAAAATATTTAGAGTTGCAAGGGACTAAGAACAGATCTCATGGTGGAAGAAATAACTTCACAGTAGGTTCTGAAATTATGGTGTTGGGCTTCATCTTCTTCTAAAAAGGGATATTGGAAGCTAAAGCTTTAAGGAACCATTGCTATTTCAAGTAGCCTTTTCCCTTCTTTTTATGTTATCTCATTGGGAGGCTTTACTGTAGGTCTTCTGCAAATTTTTATCCATTTTTAGTGTTTTGGTGGTTTAAACCTTAACCATGACCACCTGTCCTCACTAGGAGTGAGTGAGTGCACAATGTACTGTTCCTCTAACCACTCTGCTAGGAAATGTCTCTTCCTAGATTTTTTCAGTTTGAATAAAAATGTTTTTTAGGGTAGCTGCCTGAACTGCTTTAGGTGGCTGGCTGTCATAACTGGGTTTCTGTAAGTCAGAGAATTAACGATTTAAGGTGTTTGCTGGAAATAATATGCAATGGTGTGACGGGAGATTGTTGATCTGTGCGTGAAGGGGTCTCTGATTATTAACTGTTAGGTTCTTACGTCCTCTGTTACTTGTCCTTTACCGATTAGGCTTCTATTTATCTTCTGCATTTAGATTAAAGACAGAAATATCAACAGTCTAGCTGCACTTCGCTGTTGAAATGCTGTTGGGGCTTCTTCCATCGCTTCAGACTTCAATAGTTTGGAAGAACTTACAGCTAGTGAGGCTAAAAATTCACAGTTTATTCTTTAGAAATAAGGTGACAGTTTTAAATCTTATTTGCTAAGGTGTAGAATGCTATTAAGATATATATGGCAGCAGAAGATCAAACCTAATGTGACATAAATACGTGCAGGAAAAATTAAGTTTTCATGTATACTCAAGGCTAATCCAAAGCTATTTTTGGAGGTGAAATGATATCTATTGGTTTCAGTGAGCTTTGGATCAGACTTCATGTGGAAGTGATCTAACCTGATAATAAAATAAATTGTTCTAACGGGTATAAAAGGTGAAATTGTGTGGTAGAAAAAACATTACGAAGAGATGGGTTGGGAAAGGGTGGACTTACAGTCAAACAAGCAAATGACATTACCTGTCCTTTGAAGAGCACGGTAGTTAGCTTGAAACAGGTGGTACCTGGATGTTGCATCTAATGTTTTTGTTTCTTTACTTTACTTTAGCTATATGGAAGCCTTGCTCTACCTTATCTATGCTTACCAGAATAACAAAGAACTCTTGTCCAAAGGCCCATACAGAGGGCATGATGAAGAGCTGATATCTCACTACAGACGAGAATGTTTGCTAGTAAGTGAAGGGTGAAGTATGTTTCAAAAAGTTGAACTTGCTGCATAGCTTTAACAAAACTAATTAATAGAAAAGTGTTGCCATTGTGAAAACAAAACAAAACCCAACCAAAACCACCTTTCATTAACAAGTTAATACTTAGACTAGCATAAGGAAAAAAGTAAAAGTAAGAAGGAAAACATTATTCCCTTTTTTTGGTTTTTTTAATAATCAATTCTCTATGATTTTAAATGGTGTGCTCACTGCCTTCATATCTGGGCTAGGTAGGAACAACAGTTGGCAGTGTTGGTGAGCAGACTCGCCCTGTTACCACAGTTTGATCACTTTTAGCAATAGTGAGAAAACAAAAGCAGGTCGTAGGACCTCAGTCTGAAAAAGAACAGCTGCAGAGATTGAGTTGGTGGGTATCGAATGAAGTGGCTTGAGAAATAGCACAAGATCAAGTGGTTTAATGGAGTATATGCATCATTGCTGTAAACGTTAAAGCGCAACTGTGGTTAATGCAGATTACCAGGTAGCTTTGTAGAAAGACTGTGCTTTAAAACAAACAGAAACTGATGCGTGGTAGAATGTGAAATGCTGTATACTTAAAGGCTTTCCTTTTTTGTGGTGGCTTATGAAGAAACTAAATGAACATGCTGCAGCACTGTTTGAATCGGGAGATGATCAGGAAGTAAATAATGGCCTGATCATTATGAATGAGCTTATTGTCCCGTGTTTGCCATTACTACTGGTGGATGAAATGGAAGAAAAAGATATTGTTGCTGTGGAAGATATGAGAAACCGTTGGTGTTCCTATCTTGGACAAGAAATGGAACGTAAGTCATTTATTCATTAAGGTAAAAGGCCCTTGTGCACCTTTCCTGTAAATGTGATGGTTTTGGTCCCTTGAATTGAGCCTATATCTTTTGTGCCTTGGTAATGTATTTTGAGCTACCCTGACTTTTGAATAATCCCATACACATCTAAATAAACAATTTTTCTGTATATTGCACTGGGTTATTAAGCCTTAAAGGAAACATGCTTTTTGAATGCAAAAACCTTCATGGTGTTAGACTATCGCGAGGCGCATTTATATTAACACCTTACTAGGAATTGGTGTGTCCTAATTATTGCTGGCAGACCTGAAGGAAGTGGATTATTCCAAGTAAATCTCCTCCCCTTCCCACCCACCAATTAAAAAAAAAAAGTCAGTGTTGGGCAGAAAAAGGAGAATTTCGCATACAGACGTAAATGCTTATGTTTGTTTTTCTTGTTCTATTTGCAGCTAACTTGCAAGAAAAGCTGACAGATTTCCTGCCAAAACTGCTAGATTGTTCTACAGAGATTAAAGGTTTTAATGACCCGCCAAAGTTACCCTCCTACTCCACACATGAACTGTGTGAAAGATACGCCCGAATCATGTTGTCACTCAGTCGAACTCCAGCCGATGGAAGATAAATTCTGCAACCTTCCTAAGCACATTGTATAAACTTTTTTAGTTCTTAAACCTTGCCTTCCTGTCACAGGGTTTGCTTGTTGCTGCTATAGTTTTTAACTTTTTTATTTTAATAACTGCAAAAGAGAAATGACTGTACAAACTTTAGCCAGACTGCAAACAATTAAAGCTGAGAATCGCATGGCACTCAGTCGTTTCAACCAGAATTGATGCAACATGCAAGTCTGATCATTACGGCAAAACTGCTTTTTTGCCACTTATCTGTTACAGTATTACTTTGCTTTTATCTTAAGATCCTTTACTTTATCAACAGCTGTCTGGATCATTTTGTGACTGCAACTACTTTAAGTGTCCAGTGCTGTGTAAATACATGGTACTTGGTAGCTTGTAAATGAAATGAAAGAATAAAGTTTTATTTATGGCTACTTCTGTGTTTGCAAGCAGATACCTTGTATATTAGTGTAAAATACGGGTATTTTTAGAAGAGATACAGTATATTGACGGGTTACTCAATTTTATAGACAAGGTTCTTCAGGATTTATGGCCAGTTTAGTTACAGGTAGTCGGAGATTACTGTATGTGAATATATTGAAAACCTGTCACAGTATTATACACTATGGTTTTTTTGTACATCCTTTATTGATCTGTATGATACTGCACCTGAACACTTTTGTGTGTGTGTGTGTATGGCCATGCCAAGTCTTTTCTGATAGTAGGGACTGGCTTCTGAAGCAAAACAATAATGGCACCTTCCTTCTATTCTTAGAATAAAAACAGGAAAAAAAAAACCTGAAAGTATTTTCAGTAGAAAAATATTACACCCTCTGAGCAAAATCTCTAGAAACTGATTTAAGCAGAGGAAATAAAAGTTTTAAAAAACCAGAATTTGTGAAGCTTAAGAATTAATACATTTTTTAATTGGTATTTTAGTCATGTAAGCGACCAGAAATAAAACCTTACATTAATTCCTTACTTAAAATAGGTTGCTGTTGTTGCAACAAAATATCTCAGAAATCTTTTCTCTGTCTTAATTAAATTTCTATTGGAAGCAAAAGAAAAGATCTATAGGGCTTGTTTTGTAGAACTGAAATACTGTCTGATTTTAATGAAGAAACTTAATTATTTTGTGGAAAAAGAAATTTAATGCATCCTTAGGTAATCCTGTTACCTGACACTGTTTTGATTCCTATTCTTTATAGAGAACTTTTTGTGTTAGAACAGTAAAATATGTGAATATTTGTTTGTATGTTTTTATTGGAGCGGCACTCAACTTTCCATTACAGGCTTTCAAGTGATGTTTATTCGAATACCTACTAATAAAAGAACACCGAGGGAGGGAAGTGAGTGATTAAGTTCAGACCACCTGGAAATGTAGTGGGCATAAATGCAGGCATCTCATATACAAGAAGAGGCAGAGTACATATCGGTCTCAGAAGTTGTTCACTCTTGAGAAGTACTGGATGACAATATACAGTGAAGAGAGTGTGGCCTTCAATTCAAAATCTTGTTAGGGATGTTTTCTGTTTTCACTATTGAAGTGCTTCATACTTTGTCAAACTATCCGGTTTTTATTTTTATCCTTTTTTTTAAAAAAAACCACCAATTTTGAACTCTTACAAGTGTGCAGTACTACTCAGGAGCCTTTTTTTAGGTCTGAAACTATTGATGTGTGAAATGTCACCTTTCAAGGAAAAAGTTACGCGTATTATGAAAAGGGCGAAGATGCATTTTAAAAGATTTCACATTTTGCATCTGCTGCACTTTGAAACTCACGAATATGCTTACTTAGTAATGTGTATTTTTAAACAAGGTTTTGAATTGATTAAACTTCTTGTTTGCATTTTTCAATAATGGTAAAAACAACTAAAAGTGAAAGAGCAATTTTATTTCTTTGCTAACAGGTTTTGAATTTGAATGTTTGTGAAAACTTTTAAGGAAAGCTACCCTCTAACTCTGCAGGAGCCAGTTACCCTCCTCATCTGTGTAATCTCCCATGACAAACACAGGGGAAAAGGCACTCTTTCTAAGGTAAAAGAGAAAGAAAGTATTTCACTTGGGAAGAATATCTAAGATACTTAAAAGGAAGCAAGCAAGGACAAGATTATTTGTTCTTTTTGTCTCAGTTTTTTCAGTTTCTTAAAGTATGAAAGTAATCTGTTGCAATTCATAGCACTGAAGATAAATACTCATTTGCAATGACTTGAATTTTTGAGTTGAATTGAGAAGGTCTGTCTAGTAGAGCAGAAATAAATATATATGTATTTTACTATTTTAATATCTTTTAAATATCTTGTATTAATTTAAACCTTCAGTTAAATCATTAACATAGTATTTTGTCTTGGATGCCTTGCTTTTTTCACTGCAATGCTGATAGCTTGGATTCACGATGCTTAGCACAAAACATATACAAGTAACTGTGTAGAGCATACAGTTCATTTGGCTACCTAATAATCTGTGACTGAATTACGTAAGGAGATGTTTCCCTTCAGTATAGGAATTGTGAGATTTTTATCAGGCTTTTTTTCAGTTTATAGAACACAAAAAGATTAAGGGAATTTAACCCAAATTCATTTACTAAATCACCTGCACCATCAAATAAATGGAAGGGATTTTTTTTTCCAGTTGTTACTTCATACCGTGGAGGACCCTGAAGGCACTGCAGTCTATCACTTGTGTAGCCGACATAAACAGTAGCACACAGGAAAGAGTCTGATACTGTCCAACAAACGTAAAGGTCCATAAAGAGAGACAATGTTGTTGTTCTTAATTTTGTGCTGTTTCCTTTTCTCAAAAACCAGTGACTCCAAATGTCTGTGGGAGGCCTTATATAAACACAAGTTAAGAATGTTGATGAAGAAATGCACCGGGTGTGTAATAGATCGCCTCATCTGTGCAGCATTTTCCAACGTAAATATGTACATTTAAAAACAAAACCAAACATATTCTGGTTTATTGTCTAGAAGGATGCAAGAAAAATGAGTATCAGTCATGGCATTGAGAGGAAAGTGGCTGCATCTTTCCATTATCTGCTTCTGAAGAGGATATTAATACACGTACAAAAAAAGCTCTTATGCAAAGAGGTCTTTAGCAAAACGCAGTAGGTTGAATTCAAAAGGGGAGTGATTCTTTCAAGTGAAACAGAATTATTTTTCATGTGATTGGTATCCAGTTTTCCTTTGCGTATTGTGTCCTTGAAGGTCTTTTGGAATCCTGGATAAGCTGTTAACTGAAATCGCTCTTAATTCTGAAGGAGCATCTTTCTTTGTAGGCAAACTAACAATTTCGATATTGCCCTAGCTGAGTCTTCATCACCAGAACGTTCCTGCTTGGTTCAACTCTTCTATTTCAGTTTTGATCCTTATGGGAGCAAAGCCACAAAACTTTTGCAGACACCTGTGTTTCTTACAGCTCTGGCCATTGCTACTGTACACACGTGTGCTCTGACTTCATTGTCATGCCCTTAAAATCTTGGACTTGGCTACCAACTTTTCTTCACCATGAATTTCAGATCTTCACTGTAAGTAGCAGGAAGAGACTCAGGCTTCTCAGAAACAGCTTCTTGAGGCAGCGCTTCAAAAGAACAGCTTGACTTGCTTTCTGCAGGTTAGGATCAACCCAAATCCCCCTCTCACAGGCTGGTAAATATATGGTGAGAGGGACTTATTTTCAGAATGGTGTTCACTGGATGGGTTCATCATGAGTGTTAAGGATATCGTCATCCTTCATCTCTCCCTTCATATCTTAACTGAAGTACCTCTCAAATAAAGGTTTGGGCTCCATGGTTCTTTCATTCACTCTAATTTTTATTTCCTCCCCCTGCCCTGTTGTTCCCCATTTAAGTCACTCAAATATCCACTTTCCAGGCTTTCTAGTTTGTTTGGTTTTTGCTTCGCCATCAGCTGGTCTAACCACCGAGCCTTCGCTACTGGGTAGAGCTAGTGATACGGAACCAGGATTCTTCTGCTTCCATCTGATGAGCGTGGGCTTCAGTTTTCGCCTCTACAGGCTCCTGAGTGCTTTTCTTGGAACTGCTCTGGTGTGTATGCCTGTGCAGGATCTGTGGGTCAAGTCACACCGTCTACACACATGCTGTCTGGCATCTCGGCATTTGAGAGCCTGAAATAGGGAAGGTATGGACAGTTAGTTCAAGCCACAGATTTTTTTTTTTCCTGTATGGTCTCTTGGCACGTTAAAAAAAAAGTGAAGAATTTGTTGGAGATTTGACTTAACTGAGCACTTCAGAAGCCTGAAGGGTGTCTCGTGCACTGGGTCTCGGCACTCTCCAGGTTTATTGAAGGCTGTAGATGCTGTTCCTGATGTTGAATGATCTTCACTTCAGTTTAACCTGACCCTCATGCTTTGTCTTGAATTATTAAACTGCAGTCAAATTTTGGCAAAAAGCAGCTATGTCTTGCTGTGCTGATATAAGTTGGTGGCTGTGCAGTCCCTACCCGTATCTGTGTTCTGTATCTGGGTATTTCCTATCACGTTGTGGGACTATATCCTCGTCATTACCTGTGTTAAAGTTCTCTGAGCCCATTTGTATTTCACGGACACACAGGGAACAGGGAGAGCTTTCCTTCAAGAAACAAAACTTGTATTTTGTCTGTGACCTTAATCTGTAATAGTGAAACTTTTAATTGAACTGTGGACTAAGGGCTGGGAAAACCTCTGGAATTTGCGGAGGGGTTGCTTTTTTTTTAAATTATTATAGATGCAGAATCATAAAGTAGAAGGAATTAGTACATAAACATAGCAAACTTTTATATGGATTAGGAAAAAAAATTTTCAAGTAAGTTTTAAGCAAAAAATGTCATTGTTAGGCAGTTTGAGAAAAAACCCTCATGCTTTCTTAGGGAAGAGGTTGGAGAGTTAGGCTTTACAGAGAAACCTTGATCTATGGAACTGAAAACCTTGTAACTTTTAATAGCCCAAGGTAATACATTCTTATAATCTGCCTATGAAGCTTTTTTTGTTTGGAAAGATTCTTTAAGTTTTGCATCTCAGGTAGTAGATTCTTAAAAAACAAAAAACCAAAATCCAAAATACCTCTCCCTATAAAATCAAGTAAGAAAACCAAATAACAAAACTTAGTTTTAAACTAATCTGGTTTATGCATTATTTCTGCTATTAAAACTGAATAATTTGGTTTGAAGTGGTGTGCCAAGTGTTATAAATGCTATTTACAAGCCTTCTATAAAAGGGTACTAAGGGAAGTGCTGGACTGCGAGTAAACATTGAGGGCTTCCAAATACTGTAGTCTTCCCAGAGTTGAAAGTATTGTGGGGTTTGATCCCAGGAGAGATCAGAAAAGAAATGAGAGGTGTTATCAGCTGCAGAAACACGCAGAGGTGTGAATGGACAGAGATGCTCCTTCAGGATTTCCACACAGCGGGAGCGTGAAGGCTGCTGTGTTCCCTCGTCTGCCACTTGATCAACTCTGACTCTTTGCCCAGAGGAGACTCGACGCTTCTCAGCAATGTAGGCAAAGCTGGATTTGGCCGCGGGAGGTGGAGCACGGGGCTCCCTTCTGCTGTGAAAGAGGGAGAGGAAACAGGCGCATTTGGGGCAGGAGCCCTAGGGAAGCCAGGTGTGGCATTTCTGGAGGTGGGAAGGATGGCAACAGCTGAGAGAAGTCCCCTCTTTTCCACTGGAGTCACTGTCCGTGCACTGGCCATTCCCCCTGCTTCCCCCTGTCATCGGCAGGACTGGGGCTCCAGGCTGGTGCGTCGGCGGAGCGGGCGCAGAGCTGGTAAGCCTGCCCACCAGCAGCCTGGCCGAGTGCTGGCTGTGCTACTCTCCCACTTAGCATCACACCTGCAAGCTCATTTTTACTACTTAAGTCCCTTCTGAGCCTCTCCTTTCTAGGGTACTAGTCCTGCTGGGTAAGTGATGTTCTTGCTTCCTAAATAGCAAAGCAGAGGATCCTATATTAAACCTGTGCTCAACTGAATCCAGCTCCCTGAGTAATCTCAGCTACACTGTATTGACTGACTGACTCATGGCAATGTATATCTGTCCTTCAAATTTAACAGCATTTTCAGATTTCATCAGTTACTGCTTGTGTTTCAGCTCACCAATGAAGAGTTTTTGTGGTTCTCCAGAGTAACAGCAAGCGTCCTGACAGCACGTGCAGAAGGGCTGGGTAGGAGATTACCAGGTTGTGTATGGGAAGCTACTTCCA